ACAAAATTAAACAATAATCAAAGAAAATTAATTTTAAAAATTCAATTCAATTTTGATATTTTTCCCTATTCAAAATCATAACAGGATAAAAGCAAAAAAAAAAACAATATTCAAACAATCTAAAGTTAAATTGAAAAATATTGTTAATTTTTTTCCCAAAAAGAAAAAAGAAAAGCAAGGACCAAATAGAGAAGTAAAAAGAACGTACATAGAGGACCTCAAAATAAAGTGCTATGAAAATGCTTTTAATATAATTGGAAATGAATTAAACCTATAATTAAAATTGAGAATGAAAACAAGAGTAACGAAAATTACACAAAAACGATAATTTTTTGTTTATTTTTCAATTTTTAATTTTTTAATTTCCCTTAAATAGCTACAATTTTTGACCTTTTCAAATATCCTTGAGTGGAGAAGAAAAAACAAGAAAAATGAAAATTTAAACTAAATGAAAAATAGAAAAGGAAATTGTAAAAATTAAATCGAGCTACTTAAGTGTTTACAGCGCCCTCTTTTTGAAATTTCTTTGCTTGTTTCTTAGCAAAATTTCCAAAAACATTTACTTAAAAAATTGACGGTCTCTGTCTGTCTGTTTAAGAAATCAACTTTCAAGATCGAAAAATAAAATTTTACAGATAAAACTATAAACCTATTTTAGGACAAAATTCTCACGTATCGCGTAAGTGTTAAAGCACTTCCAAATTAAAAACAGCAGGATGTTAAAAACTTACTTTATCTAAAAAAATAGGCAATTTACAAATTCGACATAGATTTAGGAAGTAAACAGCGTAGCTCTCATGTCTTAGATGAGTTTCAGAATGTTGAGTCCAAACTTTTAATTGATTGTAAGTTTAAACCGCTGCTTTAATTCATTTTAAAGTTACATATTTTATTTTAGATATTTTTGACAGTTTCTGGTTCTCGATAATATTTAATATAATTATATTATGGGAGTAAAATTTCTCCTACCCTATAAGGTTTTCGAGAATTTTCTTTCAAGTTGTAGAAAAGCAAGAATTTTATTACTTCATTAATATTGTTAAAAAACAAATAATAATTGCATACTTTTAGGTTAACACAAAATATTAAAAGCAGTGTAAAAGCTCGAATTTGATCATTAAGACAAGGTAAATAACTATATTTTTTTATTGCAAGAAGCTTACATTTTTTTGAAAAATAAAGAGCCGAAAACAAAAATTTTGCAAATTTGAATTAGAGATACTCGTTACAACTTGCAAAGAGAGAAAAAAGTATTTCTATTGATTTCTAAAATCCCATTTAATAAAAATTTCGTTTTTAATAACCAGATTTTGAACTATGTAATTTGCAGATACAATTAATTTAAAGGAAATGTGCTACTTTATAAACCATCTTTATAATGGACCACATTTTTAGATCACATAATCATAAGGAAAAGGCAAATGATGTTTTTCGGGTCGATTATTTGTTCAATTGATATATGTATACAGGTACCATGTATATAGTATCTAACACACATATAACATGCATGTGCTGATATTTACTAAGGAAATAAAAACATAGATGCCAGATAGGTACAGGTTACAGGTCACAATATTGATATAAGTGACTTCACGTGTACAATTTCTTTTAAAAAATTTATTGTTTATTTTGCTGTTAGTAAAGGTATCATTTGATTATATCCTGAATTGGTCATATCCTGAAATTCTCAGCTAACATGAAAGTATCTAATAAAATAAAAAATGAAAAAAAAAAAATTACGAAACTTCCGGTTCGCATTTGAATATAAAATATAAGAGACAAGAGAGTGGAAGGAAGAGCAACAATATTCTCCGGAAATTGTTGAGTGTCAGATCCTAAAAACATCATTTTCGCTTTGATGAAATTGTGGCACTACATAACCGTTATTACCACCATCATTATTAAAACTGTTTGCTTCCACATTTTCCTGCAACCATTGGGTTTTTCAATGTAAGTCGATTCCATTTGAAGTTGAATTTTTATTTCGCGAATTTTTAAGAAGTCAGCATATTCAACAGTACCTAAGAAGAGAACATTAAAAAATCGTATTATTTATTTTTGTTTTCTCTTTTTCTTTAAAGCTATGGAAATATGAATTAAATATCATACAAATAGAAAAAAAACACAAAATATAGAACCGAATTATAACGGTAAAAATAACTGTAATAATTTTATATGTGATTTTTATGTACTTTTATTTTTTATGGATTAATTTTAATTGCAGGACAAAAATAAAAGAATACAAAAAAAGAAAAACAATCAAAAAACTTTGAAATCACTTGGAAAAAAAAAACATCTACTGAGAATTCAATTTTATGATTTTTTTTTTCCTTTTTGTATTACATTAATTTCTGCGTGGATTTTAGACCATTGGAATTTAAGTTACCAGGAAAATTAAAAATTAAGTAATAATTAACGAAATTTTTAAGAATCAAGTTATGCCTCACGGTCAAATCTATTGTAGGGAAAAAAATCTTAAAATAGGCGGTACTTAAAAGTCATACTGAAAATTCTGATCTTAACAAATGGTATAAGTTCCCTTCCTTCAAAGAGTTACGGGATTTGTGAATAGCCATTCTCAAAAATTTCAAAGATTTCAATGATTTTTCAATATTCTTTTTTTAGTACAGCTTGAATTTTTTTATTTGCACAAGTTCATTTCAATAAGAAATTTATTTTACCTCGTAGAAGAATACCTGTTATCGTTTCCTCCATTTAAAAATTAATTTTCTATTCAATTTTTCAATTAATTTTGTTTAATTATTACTGAAGACAATTTCTCTTCAAGATTGGAGTAAATTTAGTGCAGTTTGTGAGTTAAGTAGTTTGTTTAGAAGTTCATGAATATTTCATAATTGTAAGTAAGTAAGTATAAATTCGATTGTAAGTCAAGTATTTGTAATAATGAAAAGGTATTTAACTTTCTTTCTTAAATCTTTAATATCTTCCTTTCCATAATTATTGAGATCTGAAAATAATAAGCAGTTTAAGATTCTTAAATCAGTTTAAAATTTTTGAAATACTTTTGAACTTTAAGTACAACACAGGTTTATCGAACATTTTACATTTTCAAATTTTGCAGTTTCAATTTCAGTTAGATTTTCGAAATATCTGATTTCAGGAGGCTGCTGGAGTTCTTTGTTCTACAAATTCAAATCCGAATAGAAGACTTACTACAATTTTGCTTAAGTACATTTCCATATTGATATTATTTTGGGTATATGAATAAAAATATATGTAGAATTTATTTTTGTAAAAACAAATAAAAAAAAAGACAAGGAACAGTAAAAAAATACAAAATGACCTTATATTCCTGTGAGAGCAACGTGGAATTTTTGTAATGGGCCGATATTGTTTTTGTTTAATTTTCTTTCTTCTTTTCTTATTAAAAAAAAAGAGAATCAACAACAAAGAAAAACAAACAAAAATGCTCATAAAAAAATTATTTTCGTCACATTTTTTTTACTTCAGTTTTTTTCCCCAGTTTTTCTTGTACTTTTATTGCCGTCGAAATGAAAAATGCTTCTTTTGTGTTTTTCTTAGTCCAATTTTTGTTTTTAATATTTTCTTTTTGTTTTCATTCTCTTATTTTTTAAAGGCCTCCTATATCGGCCTTTGGCTTCTTATTTTCATTTTTCTTTTTCATATTTTTTTTATTGTTGGATAGAAGGGCGATCGCTTAACAATGACGGTTCCCTTTTAGTCCTTTTAGTGAAAAAATATAATTTTTACCGTTATTTTAATTTTTTTCTTCCTCTACTTTATGATATTTTTCTTTTTGTTCCCTCTATATTTTATTATTGCGTAGCTATAATGTTTCGCTTTATAAAGTCGATTAATTTAATGGAAAATTGAAGAGCAAATAATGAAAAAAAAAAAAAACAAAACTTTTCTTACACAAGCTTTTGAATGAAAGACGTAAAATAAAGTTGTTAATAAATCCAGGAAACCTTAAAATTTCGAAAAATAATTTTTATTATTTTTTTGGAATGGGAGGAGTATAATATAAAATAAAAATTGAATTAGTGATTTGTTAAGATGGAAGAGATTGAAGTGCAGAAGAATGTTACAGATAGGTGGGATATGCGAGAAGGCACAATTGTTTTTTTTTTTTATAATTATGTAGGAGAAAACTAGAAGCGCATATAAATTTAAAAGAGGGGTCGAAGAAATTATGTTTGTTTTTTGCGTTTTTACTTTTTGAAGTTTATTGTTGTTAAGCCGATAAGCTATTAGGAGGCAATTAAAGCATTAAAGATCAGAGATTTTGTTAATTGTTTTAAGTATAATTGAATATTATTATTTATTTGAATAAATTTAAAAAAAAACAAAGAAAATACAATTAAGGAAAAGTCAAAAAAATTCCTTTTTTTATTGAAGAGGGGAAAAATGAAAAAAAAAATTAAAACGAAAACGAATTCGCTCAGTTGTGTATTTTTTTTATAAGAAATGGCTAATAAAGTACCGTTACGTAATAATGACATTTCAACAAAAAAAAAATATTTTTAAATTTTAAGGAATTAATTAACAGTTAGTTCTTAAGAAAAACAATTTTCATAAATTTCTTAAAATCAACTGAGGGTACCTATGAAATTCCTAGGAAAACGCAAAATTTCAAATGTTATTTTTCTGTTAATAATTGCTTATTATTCAATTAACTTTATTATTGATGGGGACTTTCAATATTAGAAAAGTTTGTTAATGATTACGCAAACATATGATGTGAGTTGCAATAAATTTTAGAGAGTAAAGCAAACTCGCTCCTAGTGCGCAATACTGGAATACTTATTTATTGATTTCAGGTTCCTAAAAAAGTTGCAATTGTCACATCTAACCACAATATTTAAAATTGTGATCTTATAAACAAATGCCAAGAATTTTCTGCGAAGCCAAAATTGGAACTTAGATCGAGCTCACAATAAAACAAGGTTTTGTGTTCTTTTACCAAATTTGACAATTTGCACAATTTTCAATCATAAATTTTTGTGTAATTTGTTTTTGTTTTTATTTTGTTTTTTTTTTTTAATTTTCAATCATTTTTCTTAATGATTTGTCTTTGCAAATAAATTGTACATTTATGTATTTAAAATTCATTCTAACAGTCGCTAATTTAATTCATAACTATACAATAATTATGTAAAAATTATCTTAAAAATTATGTTAAAATAATTACACAGCACACAAAATTATATGACTAAATTATTTTTTGTATATATATAAATTCTAAATGGTTACTTTTTTAAAACAAAAATTTTCTATTTTATTTTAAACATCATTTAATTTATCTATGGGTTGTGTAATTTTTAATAAACCATCTGTTAGGGATGAACCTAAATCATTTGGATTTGAGGTCATATTTTGTGTTGATAATTTGAAAAATGCTGTATCACTATGTGTTATATTGACAATTGTGCCAGTTAATGGTAATGTACTTAGAAGATCCGATGGATTAGATATTGCTCCGATATTAATTGGTGCTATACCAGTTAAAACTTGTCCAGATATATTTGTTTGTACTGGTAATGGTATATTACCAAAATCAATATGACTATCATTTCTATGCGCATCAAAAAATGTTAAATCAACACGCTCATGTCTACAATGAAAACAAAAATAAATGAAATTAAAATTATTTTAAATATAATTAGATAAAATTATTTTGAAAAAGCTTACGTTTCTTCACTTGATGTATCATTTTCTCCGACATCAGTTAAAATTCCGATTTCATAAACGACAGCCTTAACAACGTACCTTTAATAGGTAAAAAGATAATATTATAATAAGGAAAACGTCTATAATTCACAGGGACAAAAAAAAACTGAATTCTAACATTTCTACATTTCTGACGCGGTTGATTTCTATCACTAGCATAATTTAAGTGAGAAAAAGCAATATTTGAAATACCATATTCGAGTTTATTCCATTTGGAATAACTATTACTTAAAAAAATAACACTTAAATTTTTCCCTGTTTTTCTGATGATTTAATCAGTAATTACTCTCAAGTATTGATAGTACTGACAATCAATGATTGATCTGAATTGGAAACTCATATTTTTGGGTAAGTCTAAAAGTTTAGCGAATTTTTTGCTCTGCCCAAATGTTAAAATATCCAAAGTTACTGTTTTGTATGGGAATATTACTGAGTACATAAGGTACGAACTTTGATTGTATTTAATCAGAATTAGCAGTAGCGATGAATATTTTAAAAAAATGCAATTACCAAAAATCCAGAGTGGTAATTGTAATTAATAATTTTTTCTTTCTTAAATACTTACAAGTGTTGAGTTTTATTTGGTTTTTCTAAATCATCACTATCTTCCATAGTTTGATCACTTGTTTCACCCAATAAAAAATCATTATCTAATGGTAAACTAGTACTAAATGTTACAAATATTAGAACTATTAAAGAAATTTTCACTAAATCTTGTTTTATACTGAACATTTTGTTATACTTTATTTATTTAAAATTTTGATTATTTTATTTTAATTCAAAAAAACTGTTGTCGTGCAATAGAATTACAAAACAATAGTGGAAAAATTTATTAAAAATTTTATCTAAAATTTTTGAAAAATGCTTTACAAATTTAATGGCCAAATGCTATGACCACAAAAAATGATATTACACCTTTCACAATTTTAGTAAATTTTTCACTTTTTTTAAATGATTTTTTGTATCACTTATCCGGACACGTATATTATCTTGAAAATTTGGTATGCAAATGATATCATGTAATTGAGAATTCACTTTATATACCAATGGGGAGAAATATATAAAAATTTTTTTAATCGTATTATGTTGTTAATTGTTTTTTTAATATCAATTTTCATCAAATTGACTCTAATTAATGAAACTCGATTTTTCAAGATTATTTAAGGTTATTACCTAAATATTTAAAAATATGGGTTCGTGCATATGAGTTTATATTTATATGAGTATGTATAAATATTAGCCTTAGTATTTATTTATTACTCTTTAAAGTTTTTCTATTAAAAGATTTTTTTTACAAAACATTTTCAAGATTTTATTCGAATCTACTATAAATAAAAATAAAATACCAAAACTAAAAATATTGTAATGAAGAAATCTGCAAACATTTGCTTATATTATGAATAAAATAATTTAATTTACAGACTTAAGATATTGGAATTAAAATCAGTGTTTAATAAAAGCTAAAGGCGGCGGACCCTTAAACACAAATTTTCTTAACTGATGGATAAAGTAAATTAATTTTTTTGTTGGTTTTGCTCTCTGATCTTTATTTTGGATTTTGATTAAATGCAGTTATGTTAAATATTTCAATTGTAATTGATTTTTAAGGCTGCTATATTAATTCAGCAGAAAAGTTGTACACGTTTCCTAATTTATTCTAATCCTAAAATATTTTTCAATTTATCTTGGTCGTGAATCTTGTTGGTGAATACTTGGAAGATCTATGTTAGCAAACGTAACTCAACGTACATTTCTGCTTCTTAACACTGTTAATTCTCACTTATCTATACTTATATTTCTCTTTTATGAACCGTTCAATAGTTCTAACTGAAATGATTTATTCATTTATTATTTAAATGTAAAAGAAACAAAAATGCATGTAATATAATCTGCCGGATTTAGACCCAGATTTTAATGTAGCAGTGTTTTTTCAATTAAACTAAAATATTTTTTGAAGTGCGTCCAATGCATATATTTTGAGACATTTTACAAGTCAAGATCTCGAAGATATTGAATTTCGGGGACACCATTTTCCCTTTTGCTATTAAAGCTTTTCTACGACTTAATGTAATCCTTAATACAGGATCATCACAAGTAATTAATTTCAATTGCATATTTCACTTCTAGATTCTTATCCAGTACAATGGGTCTTTGCTGAAACAAATTAAATTGGTTTTTTTTTAAAACTTAAATCATATCTGCAAATTTATAGGTAAGTACACACAATTTAATTTGGGAAAAACCAAGCATCTTGGCTTTATATCACAAGAAATGGAAATGTAAATAAATTTCAAATAATTGTGTAAAAGAATTTATTTAGTTGAAAACCATATTGTTGTTGATTGTTGATTCTGTCGTAATTTTCCATTCAAAAATTTCAAAGCTTCACTGATATTTATAATTAGATGAATCATTTGTTATTCGAAAGCTATAGTTAATATGGTTCATAAAAATCTTATGTCATCTTCATTTTAAATTTAGAAGTCTTCATTTATTTAATTAGAGGTTTTAAAAAATTTGATGGTCCGCAAACCTCGCATTATACGTGGCTGAAATGAGAAAACGCTGTGTGTTTACTTCCATTTTATATTTTCATAATATAAATTAGTATTGAATAAAAATTTAGTAATATCCCTAAAAAAAATATTTTTGTGCTATATTATGTTTGTATATAACTAACTATTTTAAAAAAATATTACAAATTTTAGCATTCTTATATGTTTAACGTCATTATTAGTATATGCAATAATTTAAATAATGTAGTTATTTACTATAGCAATTTTTTATTGGAATACCCTAGAAAAAAACCGAACGCAACAAAAATAATTTCGAGTCAATTAAATTAACACAATATTATAAATCGTTTAACATCTAATTACGAACGTAAAAAAAGAAGGTAAACATTAATTGCGACTTTGTTTACTTCTAAAATATTGAAAAAACTGTACTGTGATTGGTTTTTGCTCATATAATATGTGTGCACCTAGACCTGATATGTATATAAGTAGATATTAAGGCAATAGTAGCTAATAAGCCCATAAACTTGATTGAAATTGAAATTTTCTTGTTAGAGTTTTCTCTATAAGACAAATAAAGTATGGTGTTGTTGCATTGCGTCGCTGTAGACTCAAATCCGCATTAATATTTTGTTATTGAATGAAATTCATTTGTAAAAATATTGAAAGCTTTCGGATGTTTAACATTTCTCTTAACAACATAATCACTTTGTTAATATTTTGGTGTTAGTTGCGTCAAAAGTTTTTTATTAGCCTGTTATTTCTTTACCTTTTTCTTTTATTTTATATGTAAATTGATTTTAAAAAATATGTGTATATAGTGACGTCAAAGATATTGTTTTGATTTCTGAGGAATTTTCAGGAAAAAAATTTTAAATCTATTCATTCATATATTTAATTATTTGCAGGTGTTATTTATCAAAGTCGCAACAAATAAAATGTGATAAACAAAATTTTATTGCCAAGAATTTTAATATTTTGGATAAAGAATTTTGTTGTTTTTCTTTTCTTAATTAAATTATTCTTGGAATAAAATTTTCGCGATAATTATTGATCTCGTTTTGAAAATAGCAAGGGGATTTTTTTTGTTAACCTTAATTATAGGATGACACCTAAACCCGATAAAAAATTTAAAACAGCAATCTACTATGAATGCATAGATTTCTTCTGCATTCCATTTAAAACTGCTTTCAATGAGCACTCAATTAAAGTTAACAAATAGACTTTAAAATCAATATTGTTAGAAAATCGAAGAAATTTTTTAATTTTATTGTTCAGCTGCTGATATTTTGTGACTTGGATAGGCCAAAGTTTTGAAAATGAAGTTTTATAGGAAACTGAAAGGTGACCATGTTATAAATTGGAATGTATTTAAAATACCTTATCAGTTGCTTAAGTATTGCATTAGATCTATATTAAATGCTTTGTTGTGTACTTTATTTGCCTTATAAACAACTTCTTTAACATTAAAATACAGAAATTTTAAATTGAGTATTTCAATTGTTTTTAATAAATTACTTAAAATTTAAATAAAAAAATTTTAAGAAAAATAATTTTTTTTTTCCAACTATTCAAAATAAACAAGTACACTCTATTTTTCACAAGTCATTTTCATATTTTATAGTTGAAAATTTCTTCAAGTTTAAAAATTATTTTAACTTTTCTTATTTTTTTCTATACAAACATGGGTATATGTGTGTATGTATAGATATGTTTTGTGTTATGTGTATGATAATGCAGTCATACATGCAATGGCTTTGTTCTGTATACTTTTGTTGTTCGAAAAAGTTTGGCTCTGGCATGTACATTTCGTTTAACTTTCGAATAAAATATCTAGTTGACAAACAAAAACAAAAAATTATTATTATTTTTTGTTTTGAAAATTGCATTGTAAAGCTCAGTTTTTCACCCAATGTTTATTACAAAAGTTTCGACAAGAAAGACTTATTTTCTTGAAGGATATTCATATGTATATGTAATAGGATATTTACACAAATAGAATAAAAAAAAGTTATGTAATTTTATAAAATATTCAAAATCGGAATGTTTTATTATAAATAAATTAAATTCTACACTATTGTTATGCGTGTTACAACAAAATTACGAAAGTGATTGTAGAAATTTTACACGGAAAGAACGAAACGTTCGAATTGCTAATAAATAAATTAATTTATTTACATTATATGAGCAATAGCTTAGGAATTGTCATTTTTAACTTTCAAACATTTCGACTTTGAGTTTGATGAGAACACTATAAAACTGTGATATTTGTTATATTCATTCTGATATATCATATCCTCTTGTACAATTTCAAGTATATTACATAAAGAGATTGTGAATTGTAAACTGTATAGATGGAAGAATAGTGTACCTCTTCAGCGTAAGAGGTTTTATTGCGTTCTCTCTCTAACAGCAAGGCACGCCGCATTTGGGTAACTTATAGCACTGTGTAATTGGAGTAACTTATAAAACAGTGTTTCGCTTTTCCAGCGGGTAAGAACATCAGAATTCTCCCGATGGAGCAGTCAGGTCTCCTTATCCTTGTTACAAAATCTGCAACGTATAGGCGAGAATTTTCAGTCGGCTCCTATGACCTGTCGTATGATATTTTTAAAGCGCCTCTAGTCGTTGTCTCCCTAAAGATCCCTGACTTTCCGAAGTTCTAAAAGATCCCCCGAAAATTTTCGGATTTAAGAGGCATTTCGATTTTGAGGGGGAAATATTAGCAACGTTTAGTTTTTGCTTTTTCGATTTCCTTTACTTCCTTGAAGTAAATTGAAATAAATTATTGTGTTATGGCATTCACTTTTGTTTAACTACACTCTTCGTATACATAGCAAGTATATTGCCAAAACATATTGAAAATAATAAAACTTAGAAAACTTAATTTACTTGCAGAAAATTTGCATAGATTTAGGCTAATTTTTCAAAATTATAAAATTATCCACAATGTGGCAACTCTTTGTCATCCTAACGATTCATATCCAATGTAGGATGAAGATGCAAATATTTTTAAAATCTCGTGATGAGTTTTCCAATATTTTATCGAATTTAGAATAGCAATATTGGCTACTGCTATTGAGTGTATATCATACTAATTGGGTTTCTTATAAATTGAATTCATTATTGCTTTAGGTAATATTATGTAGTTTACAGTGCATACTATATATTCAATTTGCGTTATTATACAATGTTACAAAAAAAAGGGCTATTGTTAAAAATATTTCAAAAAAGTTTCTCTATTCAACTTACTAAAATTATAGTTAGATGACATATGACAAAAACATGCAAAAAAAGATGCAATAACTTCCTTCAAAATTATATTTTCTTTGTTTTTACATGAATACAAGTATGTAAGTATAACAAAATCGAAGTGAATATGAAAATGTTATATAAGATTGTAGTTTTCTTACATTTGTCAACAATAGCATTGCTGTAGAATGCGAGTTTGTTCCTTTTGTCTTTTCCGAAGAAATTATT